TGGATGGATTCATAAAAACGTCTTAATGCTGGATTAGTTTCAGCTTTTGTCTTCTCCAGATGTTAACTGATGGACTGGAGTGCTGTGGATTATTGGGATGTTTTTATCAGCTGTTTGGACTCTCATTCTGACGGCACCCATTCAGTTATAATATGGCAGAAGTATAATTGTGTAACGTGTGTGTTTATTATCTCTGCAGGATGATGTTACGTATTCATCTGTAGTCCACATCAAATCTCACAAACCAAAATCCCGACAGATGAACACTGAGGAGGCCACCGTCTACGCAAGTGTGCAAAAAAGATAAAACATGACACACACACCTAAAACAGCATCTCAGACATTCTGCACTGGGTTATTGTTTTATGACCGTTTTAAAGAGTTTGATGGCTTTTACATTAACATAATTTGCTTTCTGTCATGTTTGCTACTAGCTTAATTTCATATGGTCAGTGTCATTTTGTAAAAATTATGACATTGTTAGAATAAATGCTACATTATGTTTTCTAAGATTTTTGTATTTTGAAGATGATTGGGCGATTCAGTTTTTTCTTAAATACAGTAATACACATTGTTTTCTTACTTTGGAGGCTCTATATAAAGCTATATTACGTTTGGATTTAGTATCCGTTTAATTGCTTAAATATTTCTTAAAAAGTTCATATTTATTACACACTGAAAAAAAATGGCGAAGAAACAGTTTTCATTTAGAAATTGCTAGTAAAGTTCACAAATGTTTACAAAGTAACATTGAATTAAATGTGACATTTTGAAGTAGACAGAAATAATATTTTATTAATCAGCAAGTTCTGGTTTCAGCTTCTTGAAAAAAAAAAACTTATTGGGAAAAATGCTTTTTTAAGAAACTAAATGTACAAACGAAGAACATTTTAAATTCTGTGTTCACAGTATCATTAAAACTCTGATTGCTCCTCAAACTACAAGAGTTTCATAATTTGTTTCTTTATTTAGATTCCGTGTCTCGTCATCAAGCAAAAGCAAAATTAATACAGCTACAAAACAATGAAATATTCATTTTCACAATAATATTCTTCATTCTAAAACCTTAAATTTCACACTAAAGCATCTGTGAAGGAATGCAATTGAAAACATATGAATAGAGCAAAAAAAATATTACAACAAAACATAGTTTTATAAATTAAAACATTCTCAAAATGATATGGTGCATTTTCTCATATTATTAGACTAGAAACTAATTAAAACAATTAAGAGGCACAGCTGTCAGAGATTGATCACTTTAAACTTGTGACCTGAAATCCAGTGAATTATTTGATATGAACTCATAACCGTTTTGATAAAATGATTTATTATACAGCAATGTATTTTATGATTTTAAATTCGAATACAGCCGGGTCCAAAAGTCTGAGACCACTAGTTAAAATATTTCTAATTTCATTACAAATTATATGATAGAAATAATATTTTGAGTCAAAAAAAGTTTAATAGAAATGTAAGAATGCCTGATGATCATCTTGAGCTTAAAAGTCTATTTAATTATTTTTTTGGACGGCACTATATATATATATATACATATACAGTATGTTCTACTATGCGTTACGTCAGAAACACACTGCAGGGTGACAGTATCAATTGTAAACAATTGCAAAGTATCTGTCCCTGAGTTTTCTAATCAAATTTCTAAACACATGGTACAGGACAGCATGATCTCCTCAGCGAGCTTCATCTTCAGTCTTCACATTCACCGTTACCTGAGCTTTACGTTACTTTACTTAGCAGCCATGAAATAAGGTCACATCGCAGGATTCTCTGGGTAAGTGAATCTCATGAAAACACCTTCAGGTCATATTTCTATGGAGGCTTGTTTCTGCCACGGGATAAAAAAAAAAAAGGTAATTGCGACCTTTTATCTCACAATTCAGCCATTTTTTCTCGCAATTCTGAGTTTCTATATCACAGTTATGTTTTTAAAGATATAAACTCACAATTCTGAGGAGAAAAGACAGAATTAAGTTGCAATTGCCTTTTTATTTTTAATTTCTGTGGCAGAAACAAAAACAAAACAATTGCGAGATTTAAACTCAGAATTGCGATATAAACTCAGAATTGTGAGATTTAAACTCAGAATTGCGATATAAACTCAGAATTGTGAGATTTAAACTCAGAATTGCGATATAAACTCAGAATTGTGAGATTTAAACTCAGAATTGCGATATAAACTCAGAATTGTGAGATTTAAACTCAGAATTGCGATATAAACTCAGAATTGTGAGATTTAAACTCAGAATTGCGATATAAACTCAGAATTGTGAGATTTAAACTCAGAATTGCGATATAAACTCAGAATTGTGAGATTTAAACTCAGAATTGCGATATAAACTCAGAATTGTGAGATTTAAACTCAGAATTGCGATATAAACTCAGAATTGTGAGATTTAAACTCAGAATTGCGATATAAACTCAGAATTGTGAGATTTAAACTCAGAATTGCGATATAAACTCAGAATTGTGAGATTTAAACTCAGAATTGCGATATAAACTCAGAATTGTGAGATTTAAACTCAGAATTGCGATATAAACTCAGAATTGTGAGATTTAAACTCAGAATTGCGATATAAACTCAGAATTGTGAGATTTAAACTCAGAATTGCGATATAAACTCAGAATTGTGAGATTTAAACTCAGAATTGCGATATAAACTCAGAATTGTGAGATTTAAACTCAGAATTGCGATATAAACTCAGAATTGTGAGATTTAAACTCAGAATTGCGATATAAACTCAGAATTGTGAGATTTAAACTCAGAATTGCGATATAAACTCAGAATTGTGAGATTTAAACTCAGAATTGCGATATAAACTCAGAATTGTGAGATTTAAACTCAGAATTGCGATATAAACTCAGAATTGTGAGATTTAAACTCAGAATTGCGATATAAACTCAGAATTGTGAGATTTAAACTCAGAATTGCGATATAAACTCAGAATTGTGAGATTTAAACTCAGAATTGCGATATAAACTCAGAATTGTGAGATTTAAACTCAGAATTGCGATATAAACTCAGAATTGTGAGATTTAAACTCAGAATTGCGATATAAACTCAGAATTGTGAGATTTAAACTCAGAATTGCGATATAAACTCAGAATTGTGAGATTTAAACTCAGAATTGCGATATAAACTCAGAATTGTGAGATTTAAACTCAGAATTGCGATATAAACTCAGAATTGTGAGATTTAAACTCAGAATTGCGATATAAACTCAGAATTGTGAGATTTAAACTCAGAATTGCGATATAAACTCAGAATTGTGAGATTTAAACTCAGAATTGCGATATAAACTCAGAATTGTGAGATTTAAACTCAGAATTGCGATATAAACTCAGAATTGTGAGATTTAAACTCAGAATTGCGATATAAACTCAGAATTGTGAGATTTAAACTCAGAATTGCGATATAAACTCAGAATTGTGAGATTTAAACTCAGAATTGCGATATAAACTCAGAATTGTGAGATTTAAACTCAGAATTGCGATATAAACTCAGAATTGTGAGATTTAAACTCAGAATTGCGATATAAACTCAGAATTGTGAGATTTAAACTCAGAATTGCGATATAAACTCAGTTTTGCGAGATTTAAACTCAGAATTGCGATATAAATTCAGTTTTGCGAGATAAACTCAGAATTGCGAGATTTAAACTCAGAAACTCAGTTTCGTCGTGATTATTGTAATAATTTCTTTCTGTATTATAGTTAAACAGTTTTGCAATACAGTGACTTCGTTTTTAAATTGAAATCAGCTTAAAGGCAGTACAACAAATGCTACAATGATATATAAATAAATACTTCACGGTTAAAATAATCTCCATAGCAGTGATGATAATTGGGGAAAATGTAATTGTCATAAAAATAATGTTCTGATCAAATAAATTGTAAAATTCCTAAAAAATACGTTTGATTTTGTTCTGATTTTTTGGGGTGACCTGATATGATCATGAAATTCACTCTTTGTTCATACTGATCATATGTATTGCTGAGGTTTCTGGGTTTTGGAGGCTGAATTCAGGTTTTTGTGTTTCTCGGCAGAATCTCCAGGACACACGGCCGATGCTTCTGAAATGATGGACACACAGAAGAAAACATGATGAAACAGCAAGATTATCGTAAAACACACTTTCTGTTATTTTTCATCTTCTACAGAAGACTCTCACGGTGTCAGATGTAATACTGATAAACAGCAATGGAAAGAGGAACTAAAACTGAGATTTAATCTGTTGTGTGGTTTTTCTTTTACAGTAATGAAACACGTGTCTTTATAACTTATCACTCGAGTGTTAAGGTCAAGAATAACTGCAATTGCTTGATTGCTAAATATAGTCACAAAATGTCACTATATTATCGTCCAGCTCTAAACTAATAAATGCACTATAAGGCATGAAGATGTTAAGATATTATGAACATTATCATGATTTTCTGTAAAGCTGCTTTGAAACATTGTGTATGTAAAAAGCGCTATACAAATAAATATGACTCAGGATTATGATAGGATAAAGGTCTATTCACACCATTCTTTCATTTATTTAAATAAAATTTTTTAATAAATAAAAGAAATATATATAAACAAAATCATAAATATTTATATAAATGATGATTTATATTTATATAAAAATTTATGTAAATTATCAATTTATTTATTTTTAAAACGTTAGTTTTTTTACTATATTTCTCTTAGTTGGAAAGCAGTTGTTGATCAAATAGGAATGTGTTTTTTGTTTACAGTATTTCTACACCAGTGTTATTTTAGTATCATTGAGATACTTTTATAGTATTTTGAATCAGTTTACATTTTAAGTTTAGCTAAAGTTTTAGTAATTTTTATTGTGTGTTTTGACATTTTAATTAGTTTTCAAAAACTATTTCTATAGTTATTTATTTTAGTTGTAGTTATTTCAGTACATGAAGTTAAAACTAAATTAAAATAAGAAATGACTTCTTTTAGTATCGAGATACCATAATAGTTTTTCTTATTATTTTGAGTGAGTTTATATTTTATTATTTTCCGTTTTAATTATCAATGAAGTTTTAGTAATTTTATTGTGTGGTTTTGTCATTTTTATTAGTTGTTTTTCATATATTTCTATATAGTTATTTATTTTAGTTTTAGTTATTTTAGTACATCAAGTTAAAGTAAATTTAAAATGAGAATGTTGTCTTGGCAGCTAGCTGAAATTTATTTTATATATATATATATATATATATATTATTTCAGTAACTTTTATTTCAGTTTATTTATTTTATTTCAAGTAACAAAACTGGTTTTAATTTTAGTTTTAGTTAACCATAATGTACAAAACACTATTTTATAAAAAAAAAAGTAATACCTGTTAACAATAAACCTTAATGATTGACATTATAGCGTGATGCATTCCTATATAACTTGTTTTTTTGTATTAATTTCTTTAACGTCTCAAGTCTTTATTGTCTGATGGGTTTTATTTTGCACTGAATCATGTAAATATGAGCTAATTTTGTGTTTTCTTCTCCATGTTTTGCTAATGTTTGTTCTCGATGTGAACAGGCCTGCAGTGTATATAACCAGAGCTCTTACTCTGCAGATTGGACAGTGCGTGCTCCAAACCCTTCATCGCTTTCACCTGATTGCTCCTGAACCTGGCCAAACCGAACTCCTGCACGACGACAAACACAGTATTACAACATAATGCTGACCATTCATATCAACACAACACTTAAGTCCATTTCCAGTGTCTCGTCATCTTTGCTCTTGCTTGTTTTAGACTCAAACCCAGATCGCGATGAACCGCAGTGTGTGTTTGCTAACGGCTCAGCTGTGGCATTACCTGAATGGGTCTGGAGAGGCCAAAGACTCCTGAAGAGATCCAGGCTTCTCTGGTGATCCGTGTCCAAACAGGTCGGTCCTGATCTCCCGCAAACACACAGCGCTCCACCACACGCTGGTAACACACACACACACACAGAGACACACACACACACACAGAGACACA